TCAGACTAAGTTATAATTCAGGATTGTCTTGAATAGCTATTCATTGACTATTTATGTGTGTGATTGGTAATGGTGCTTTTGCCAGCTCACTAGGATTAAAGTAGAGAATAGATCAACACAAAATTGTAAATTATGTCATCATAAGGCTTAAGATAATTAAAAACAAAGTCACAGATCAAAACAAAACAAACAAAAAAAAAACAACTGTATTCTGAAAGAGGATGACTTTTGCTGCATGTAAATTATACCCCCATAAACCGGACTAAAGAAATGATTGAGTGCTCGCTTCGGCAGCACATATACTAAAATTGGAATGATACAGAGAAGATTAGCATGGCCCCTGCGCAAGTATGACACGCAAATTCGTGAAGCGTTCCACGTTTAAAAAAAAAAATTGAGTTAGGGGTTAGAGGGGAGTGGGTATAGGTATAGATGTAACAAGGATAACAGAACATTGATGGTCAGTTAAAGCTCAGTGGTGGGTATATGCTGGTTTATTATACTCTTATGTTTATCTTATATTTGTTTGAAATTTTCCATAATCAAGTTTTTCCAAAAAATTTAATGGAAAGGAAAATCTCTGTGTGATGGAGGCAAAGATGTCAGTCAGTGACTGTCATCTGTCGGTCTCTCCAATGCACTTTTTGTACATTAATGAACTGATGCCACTCGAGTCTCAAACTGACCTGCTTTCCCTGCACGTAAATAAACTAGAATGATTTATTTGACATTTCTTGCTGGTACTTTTTAGATTTTTTTTAATATCACTTGATTCGTAGCTTTTGCAAATTTTGCTCTGTTTTGAGGTCTCCTTATTCCTTCAGCTTGGGTATCCGCTCCCATTTAATATTTACTTATTTTAAGGGTGTCTTTTTCCTCACAATGGCCTCTTTGATATGTCAGTAAACCATGCAGGGCTTATTTTTCAAGTGGCTGTTCTTTTGGATTTGTGCCATGCATTTATCACGGGTTCCCAATAAAGCACTTTCAAATAGAAACGGGCTCCAGGCTTTCTATGGGCTGTAACTTTTTAACAATTCCTTTCATTTCCCCCCACTTCACGCCCCCATTCTGTCCTAGTTTCCCTTTCTAAAACTGAGCAATCAAGTGATGGATTCCCCCTCCCCTTCCCGTTAGCAGGCTGAATGTGTATTGTGGTCTCTATTGACTGAGTGGTTTACCCATGACCACTGTGCCCAGTGTGGTCACTGCCCAGACCCAAATTCAGGTTACTATTTCCTGCAGTGGGGGCTCGAGTGTTTGTCAAGCAGCCAGCACTCCTGGCCATGCCAATCCTCATCTTTATTTTGTTCATTGTTTTTGTTTATTTGTTTGTTGTTGTTGTTGTTGTTGAAAATATACTTTTCTTGATTTGAGAGAGAAAGGGAGAGGGAGACATGGAAACATCAATGATAAGAGAGAAACATAGATCAGCTGCCCCCCCGCCCCCGTATGTCCCACACTGGGGATCAAGCCCACAACCCGGGCACCTACCCTGACGGGGAATCTAACCTGGTTCATGGGTCGACGCTCAACCACAGAGCCACACCAGCTGGGCGCATGCCTGGGGTTGTGGGCTTGACCTCCGGTGGGGGGTAGCTGATCGATGTTAATTGGCTCAGTATCATCCAAGGATAAAATCCAAACTCTTCACAACGACTAGATTGGCTAAAATAAAAAGACTAAGGAGACCATCAATATAGATGAGAAGAAACTGAGACTCACACACTGCTGGTGAGAATGTAAAATGGTAGAACTACCTTAGAAAACAGTTGGCAGTTCCTCAAAATGTTAACCATAGTTAGCATATGAACCAGCAACTCCATTCCTAGGTATATAACCAAGAGAAAGGAAAACTCCCACACAAAAGCTTGTACAGGAATGTATATAGCACCATTAGTCACAATAGCCAAAAACTTGAAATAACCCAAATGCCCACCAACACATAAATGGATAAAGAACTGTGGTATATCCATACAATGGAATACTACTCAGCAACAAAAAGGAACTACTGATGCATGCAACAACACTAATGCAAGTAAAGGAAGCCAGACTATAAAGAGTGCATACTGTATAAATCCATTTTTATGAAACTCGAGAAAAGGCAAACTAATCTATACTGACAGAAAGCAGATGCCTGGTGGTTAGGGTGGGTGAGGGATTAGGGATTAGAAACTAAGAAGGAAACTTTTGGACTGATGGTTATGTTTATTATCTTGATTTCATGGATGCACACATATGACAAAATTTATCATATTGTACACTCTACATATATGAATTTTATGTCAATTATACCTCAATAAAACTGAAAAAAATAAAGAATAAAATAACACAAATTCCTGGCCCAGCCATCATTATTGCTTCATGCTGTTTTAGTCCCAACTGTTAAGCCCTAGCTGGTTTGGCTCAGTGGACAGAGCATTGGCCTGCGGACTGAGGGGTCCCAGGTTCGATTACAGTTAAGGGCACATGCCCCGGTTGTGGGCTCAAACCCCAGTAGGGGATGTGCAGGAGGCAGCCAATCAATGATTCTCTCTCATCATTGATGTTTCTCTCTCCTTCTCTATTCCTCTTTGAAATCAATAGAAATGCATTTTTTTAAAAAAAAGATTAAGCTCAGATGGTGCCAGTGACCCACTGTGGGAGGCTTTCCCCTGGATATTATTTGCTCCCCTCTGCCCCACAAGTCACCAATAAAACTCCAGCTATAGCCACTAGACCACCTACCACTTAGTGTACATTTCTAGGCCTGCCTTCCCTAATTCTAGCAGAACCTCCGTAGCAATCGTGCATCTCAGTCACTTTTGCATTCCCAATTGAGGCCTGCAGAAACTTTTTTTTCTTTTTGCATAGAAGGGGACAGCATCTCAGAGACAACTTCTTACAGGACATCATTCATGCAGCTAACAATTACAAAGGAGCTACTGCATGTGAGGCACTGAGTCGGCCCCCAGAGCAAGGCTGTGTCCGAGAGGAAATGGACAGTGTCCATCGGTTCCAATAGTCTGCTAAAGCTCAGCTGCTGCAGGCACTAACAGGTGGGGCATCTGACCGGACTTTGAAGTCGGGGCAGTTCTGTCAGCAAAGGCTTCTTAGAGGTGATATTTAACCGGAATAATGAAGAATGAATAAGAGCTCCATGTGGGCGGGAGGTGGGAGAGGTTCCCCTATAAAAGGAACACTGTGTGCAAAGAAGTCTCAAGCCAGGAAAGAACGTGAGCCAGTTTAGCTGGACTCTGGATTTGGAGCCTTGCTTTGGTAGTCAGATGGGAAGTTGTGATGAACCTGTTAGGCCATGAAAGAAGTTTTGCATTTGTCTAGGTTCTAAAACATTCTAGAAGGCCCTAGCCAGTTTGGCTCAGGGGATAGAACATCGGCCTATGGACTGAAGGGTCCCAGGTTCGATTCTGGTCAAGGGCACATGCCCAGGTTGCAGGCTCGATCCCCAGTAGGGGGTGTGCAGGAGGCAGCTGATCGATGTTTCTCTCTCATCAATGTTTCTCTCTCTCCTTCTCCCTTCCTCTCTGAAACCAATAGGAAAAAATAATAATAAAAGACTCTAGAAGGCAATGCAGAGCTTTTGAAGAACTTTAAGCTGGGAAATATCTTGTTCAGATTTTTGTTTCCAAAAAATAACCATGGCTGCCTCATGGAGAGCAGTTGGAAGTGAGGCAAAGCTGGACGCCAGGGACCTCTCTGGGGCAGTCTGGGGCAAGGCCGAGGGAGGGCTGCGCAGGAGGATGGTACACTTCTGCCTCCCCCCACCCCCTACCCCCCGCAGCCCAGTCACCTTCTTTCCCACAGACCGCCAGCTTCCCTCAGCATCCTAAGATCAAGTCCTTGTCCTGAAAACCTAACCAAAAAGGCCATCCACCTCTCACCTAGATGGCTGACCCTGCCGCTGAGCCAATAGAGCTTTACCCTCATTGGGGGGTGTGCTGGAGGCAGCCAATCAGATTCTCTCTCATCATTGATGTTTCTAGCTCTCTCCCCCTCTCCCTTCCTCTCTGAAATCAATAAAAACATGTATTTTTAAAATAACAAAAACACACAACAAAAAACAAAACCAACTTTCATGTCTGGCATCAGTTTCACAACCCAATACCACTTTAAAGGAAACCTCTTTAAGATGCCTACTTGTCTACCCCTCCAGCTCCTCATTTCAGCCTTCACTCATGGCCCCTGCCCTACCCTTCCTTAGAATTCAGCCTGGACATAATGATACTTATGTAGCATTTGGCATGGGCTCAAAGTATAGCTTTGGCTTTGTTTTCCTAACTAGACTGTGAGGCTCTTGAAGGCCAATTTCGAGGCTTGTTTCCCAGGGCACTTACTGGCACTGATCCCTGAACAGCTAATTAATGATTATTGATTGGCAGGGACCACTCAATCTACCAAAATGTGAGGAAGGGCTGGCAGGCAGCAAGAGCCACCACCATCTGCATGTTTTTACCCACAGGCTCTGCCTCTACTTTGTAGATTCTCTGGGTTTTCCCAGCGTCCGTGGGAGATCTTGAAGAACACATTCTGGAACTAATTGAAATCACGAGGGAAGGGGTTGGCAAAGAGCCCTAACTGAAAAAGTGATGTTTAGCACCAGAAAGTCACCAAGGCTGAGAAAACCCATCCACTTGCTCGCTGGCCTCAGCGTGAAACAGAAAGGCCAGGAGCTACTAATGTTTCACATGGAATCCAGGTTAAACAATCACAGCGTGTGAACACCGGCAAACCACCTGACATCACTTTAGCCAGCAGAAAAATTGGATAAAAAGCAATCTTTGGCAAGGCAGCAGTGAAACAGCTTCCCCAAACACAACCTTTCTGCCAAAGCAAGCTTCTGCCTATTGGTGGTTCCGATTCCAAAGCACACCTCCCAGGACCAAGTTTAAGTGCACAATTGGTGTTGCCTTTGGCTGCCACCTTGTGGTCTAAATTACAAACGCCTATTAAGACTGAAATAGGTGGCTACCAAGACAAAATCACCTGTGTAGGATTTGTGACATCTCACTTGTGTAATATTGTACCCCACAAATATAACCCCCAAGTCCCTGTACCCCTGAAGACCCACTTCAGCTGCCAGTTTTGCTGGCTGCCTTGAAAGCTTTGACTCCCGCTTAGGAAGCACATTATATCACACCCATCTAGTCAGGGTTTGATCTGCAAGTCAAGCCAAAGGCAGGTCACACAACAAATCTGTCTGTGCTCTGTCCAAGCTCATGGGACTGCACCTTTACCGCCCTCTCCTGACACTGTGCTGTGTTTGCAGCACAAGACCACAGAAATGGTCCCATCATTTTCTTTTCGAGAGAAACATCCATTTCTTGTTCCACTTATATATTCATTGGTTGCTTCTTTTATGTGCCGACTTTTATGGGATCGACATGACAACCTTGGTCTATCAGGGTGATGCTGTAACTGAGCCACTTGGCCAGGACTCCATCAAATCCTGGTACCTGTACCTAAATCCCGCTTCGCCCCAAGGGAAAATGCTCGACACCCTTCTCTTATCATCTCTCACTAAGGCTCCAGGAAAACTGGACAATGCACCCCCTTTCCAAGGAACTCCAGGACAAGAACTCCAACTGTCTGATTATGGAATGACAAAGACCCCAGGTCTTCAACCGGCTGGACAGCTCCTTCAGATGCTTTTGTACACTCTCAAGTCATTGTTTCCTCCTTTGACATGTAAATCCTGAAGCCTTTAAGGTTGAGATTAGTAAACTGTAGGCCTGAACACCATGGAACAATATTCCCCTGGTTTTTCTTACATCCTACTTCCCCAGCACTTCTGATATTCCCAAATAGGCACAGAATCTCAGTTCCAAGACCAACAAAATAGCAACTTTCCCACCACATGGAGCTGAGCCAGCATGACTGGTCTGGTGAAGACGCCCGGCGTTCCAACAGCCTCCCAAAATGGTAACCACATTGGCCATGACTCTGCAGGGAGGTGTCTGCTGGAACAAAGAGAGCCCAAGTCAAAGCCAAGTCCTACAGCAACAAGTGATGTCACCCTGGATAAGACAACTCCCAAAACCAATCCAGTCTTGCCCCATTTACATTCCATAATGCAAACAAAACAGGGGCACACAACATTGTTTTCTGACCACAAGTTTATTCAACACAAAATAACCCGTCCAACTTTACTGAGGTGGCTGACCACGTCCACGACCAAATCCGCCTCTCTGTAAGAGAAAGCACAGGACATCGCGTTAGCAGTAAGCGGAATAGCAGGCCTCCTCATCACTGGTGAGGCTCCCCTCAGAGAGTGCAAGTCCTAAGCCCCAGCCTTGCCCTATTGGCTACAGGGCCACACTCACTTTTCAGACTGTTTCCTCATTTATAAAATGGGAATATGGACACCCACTCAAGAGTGTGCTCACACATACACACATAGAAGCCACAGCACCAGACAAGATCTTCTGTCTGCCACCCCCCACCCCCCTTTCACTGTGCTACAGGGCAGCTGCTGTTCCAGTGATAGCCCAGCCCACACACAAGCACTTGACCTGGATTACCTAATCTCACAATCACCTTGAGATAGCTACAATCATCACCTCTATTTTATAGATGAGAAACTGGGACACAGATCACACCATCTGAAGAAAAATAGAGGATCTGGTTCCAGTCCACCTTGGTTCTAGAGCCCACTCACCAGTGATAGAGTCTCAACCTTAAGTTTTGGTTCATGAAACTAAAGGGATATGGTCATTACAAAAGAAATAGAAAAGACCACTATGCTACATGTAGTATTGATCTGTGAGACTCAATGCAGTATCTATGTATTAAAAAAAGTTTCCATCTGTCTTAATGTAAAAACCTTATTTGGAATTTGTGGTTTTGGGGCGGGGGGGACGGGGAATGAGGGGTGGGACCCACAGGGCTAAGGCCATATAACAGTGACTGCTCATGGAGAGCAAACAGGGAAGGAATACTCACAAACTGGAATTCAGTTGCTGACCCAGCCCCGGCCTCAGCTTTCTTGTCAGCACCAGCTGGAACGAGAAACACCAGTTTAGATTCATCACATGGTCCCATCTACTGCAGGTAAGTCACCCAACCCAATCCCAATCTTGCAGGGAAAGCCATGTCAGCAAACAGACCCCATGAAGTACAAGTGAATTACACCTTCTGAGCCACTTTGCCCCCTCCCTCTCCCAGGGCAGCCTTCCTTAAGTCATCCTTCAAAACTCACAGTCCAAATTATTGCCTCCTCCAGGAAGGCTGCCCTGACCGCCACTTCCCATCACTACATGCTTCAGATTAGCAACTAGCTTACAAGGGAGCTCAATGAAGAACTAAAAGGTAAAGAACACAATGGCCCACAGAAGCAAAAAACAACTTTATTGTGACCATGGGAAAGCAAGATGAAAGATCTGTGCTGTCCTGTCCAGCAGCCACTGGTCCAAACTGAGGTTTGTATACACTACTTATGAGATTTCAAGACTTAAGAGAGTGCAAAATCTCATTAATGTTTATATAGGTTAAAAAATTAACATTCAGTGGGGTGGAGGTCAATGGGAGGAAAAGAGGGGACATTGTAATACTTTTTTTTTTAACTGATTTCAGAGAGGAAGGGAGGAGAGACAGAAACATCAATCATGAGAATCATTGATTGGCTGCCTCATGCATGCCCTCTACTGATGATCGAGCCTGCAATCCGGACATGTGCCCTTACTAGAATCAAACCTGGGACCCCTCAGTCCGAAGGCCAACGCTCCAACCACTGAGCCAAACCAGCTAGGGCCATTAACAATGTTATACTTTTAACAATAAAGATAAATTTTTAAAAATTAACATTCATGTGAACTATTTCCATTTGCTTTAAGTGTGGCCACTAGGAAATTTTATAGTTCACACTGCAGGGGTGGGGCAGCAGGGTCAACAGTGAGTATGGTTTCAGGAAATCGTGTTCAAATTGGGGTCCCTTTGGCCCATTTCAGACCACATCCACCACAGGCTCCTGTCTGCTCACTCCCCTGCCTGCCCCTTTGACCAGTAAGTCAGTGTCTTCTCCATCTCCATACCTTTGTTCATGTTCACCTCTTGCCTGAAATGCTCACTCCCCTAAACTTGAGAACCCACCCTGAGGCTTGGTCCCAACTCTCACATCCCCTGTAGCACCATTCCCTGACTGGTTTCCCAAGTGGTGTGACTTCTAGTAAGAGCAACCGCTGCTAACTTTCTCTAAACGGAGAGCTGGTTTGCCAGAGGAATTCATTACTACTATCCTGTAGTGTAAGGTATTCAGGTCAAGTGCTCATTTAATCAGGAACCACGACTAGAGGGAGGTAAGAGTGATGTCAGTAAAAATTCCTTTATACCTTGTTTTTGTAACACAATTTTGTTTCTGCAACGAAGACAGAGTGACTCTTTCTTACCACTCTTCTGCAAACACCAATGGCTCCCCATCCCACCCAAGAGTAAAACCCCAAGTCCTCTCACGGCCCACAGACCGTAAGACCCACATCCTTATCAGATTCTCCAACTGTCTTCTGTTGTTTAGACAAGCCAGATGCCTTCCCCAGGTAGCCACTGGCTGGCTCCCCTCCTGCTCCATCAGGCCTTTGCTTAAATCTCACTTCTGCATTATTGAAAATTACACACACACCTTTTCCTGTAGCATCCACATCTTTGGAACATATTATGTTACTTATTTTTGCTTATCCATCTCCTATCACTAAAATGCAAGTTCAATGAGAGAGGGGCCTTTTAATGTTATGTACACTACTGTCTCCTCAGCTCCTAGGACAGTGCCCAGCACACCACAGGCACTCAATATATATTTGCTGAATGAACAAACATCTGCTGTTCCAAGTCAATGCTAATATTTGCTATTTAAAACAAGATTTTACAGAAGGGGGTCCTAATATAAGGTGACAGAAGGTGTGACTTTGGGTGATGGGTACACGGTGCAATATACATTTCTTGTAACATAAAAACCCACACCTGAAACCTATATGTTCATTTTGACCAGTCACCACAATTAATTTAATAAATGAATATTTAAAATATAATAAAACAAGATTTTACACTATTTTTGCAATAAGAAAACAACAAATTTGAGTGGACCCTACCTTCAAAGAGCTTACAACACAGGAACACAACCACAAAATAAAACCATGTTGCTTTCCTGAAAGTTTTCAGTTTGCTCTAGTTAAAGGACTTCAACCTAAGTCTGTCCTCCCTAGGTCAAAGGGTGTTTCCCAATCCCCACCCGTCAAACCCCTGCATAAGGCAAGAAGCACAAAGGACCCCAGCCAGAGCTGACGGAGAATCCAGATTCCACCCTCACACGCCACACAGACGACCGTTACTCACGGGGCACAGCACTCCGTCTGTAGGTGTCTCTGTCGGCTTCCCCTCGTGTGAGTCTTGCAGGTCGCTCGCCCTCCAGACCTACACAAATAAACCACAAGGTGAACATGGGCGATGGGTTCCCTTCAGGCCAAGAAATCTGGAATTGCTCTCCACGTCTCACCGGAGAACATCTTAGTCATTGTAAGGAGTTAATGGGAACAGGAACTCCTACACCCAGAACTGCCAGCTAGAAAAACTTGTCATTGACATTGTGGCTCCTCGAAGGCCTGGGAAAAACTCACATCTTAATTAAAATGCCACACGTCTGCAAAAGGATTGCTTTCTTCTATTGTATTTTTCAATATAACACACACTTTCCAATTACTTGGCAAACTCAGAAATTCAGCTATTTCTACAAATATTCCAATAGCTAAAATTTTGAACTTGATCCAGCTCTTAAGTGGAAAACTCCCTGTACAAAGGAGGCATCACAGATGAAAGCCCCACCTCCAATAGGAAGTATATAAATATAGAGGCCAGCAAAAATCCTTCAGTCCCCGCCTGCCCCTTCTCCACCCATCCTTCACGCTGTGGATACATTAAAAGGTACCTTAAAAACATTGAAGTTTAATTTAGTATTCTCTCTACCCAGTTACCTTAGAGTCCATATAGTTAAAACACCTTTTTTTTACCCTTCGGTGCTTGGGCCAACGCTCTAACCATTGTCTATTGATTTTTAGAGAGTAGAAGGGAGGGAGGGAGGAAGAAGAGAAAAACATCGATGTGAGAGAGACACATCCATTGGTTGCTTCCTACATGCACCCTGACTGGGGCTGGGAATCGAACCTACAACCCAGGCATGTGCCCTTAACCAGTAATTGAACCCATGACCCTTCGGTGCTTGGGCCAACGCTCTAACCATTGAATCACATCAGCCCAGGCAAACCATTCTTTAATGTACAAGAGATAAAACTGAACCCGAAGTGAGTGGCTAAAATAAATGCCAGGTCTCGCATAGGCCCACCAAATCAAGCCTGTGGGGCAGAGACAACGGGCTCCTAGGTGCAGTGTAGACTTCTGCTCTAGATACACAACCCACTCAACCACCAGAAGCCCCTTGGGAGCATTTGTAAAACAAAGATTCCTGAGCTCCATGGAGTCTCTCCAGTGGAACCTGGAAGCCACGGCCATCTGTGTACAGATCTCCGCCCCACCTCATCACCCAAGCTTACAAAGTTCTTGTGACAAGTTCTTCAGAACCCAAGGAAAAACATGACTGTGACCAGTAGATAATCCGCCCCCACCCCACATCCACACATGAAGCAGTAACTCTCACACCGTGATTTTCCTGAAAAGGTTACTCAATGCTCCACCACACAGGTCTGGTCACAGACTAATGTTCCGTGTGAGTGCCGTCTCCTGGGAAAACCTGAGGGCCTGAGTCCAGATCCATTACCGAGGGGACAGCGGTCTCAGGACTTGACCTGCAAGCCAGAGCCCCTACAGCTGGCACCCACGGCCGATTATAAGACCACTCCCGTCTGCCCCACAACGCCCCCTCCCATGTACCGCTCCCAGGAAGAGCTGGTGCACAGCAGGCCGTCGGAGGCATTTATGTGGGCACCGTACCTTTGGGCCTTGGGCGGCCAGTCTCAGGCCGGCTGCGGCGCAGGGTGGCGGGCACGATCTCGGGGGGCAGGTGCAGGTAATCGCGGAGGTACTGGATGCCCTCGTTGGTGAGGTACCAGTAGAAGTGTCTCCAGGCAAACTGTTCCTTCACGTAGCCCCGGGACTTGAGAGACTGCAAGACAGAAAACTGCGGCTGAGACCTAACTGGAGGCTTGACGCTAGGAACGCGGTGCACGGGGAGCTGGCTGCGCAGTAGGCCGGTGTTCAGGTGCATCTACCTCACGGCCCGTCAAGGCAGCAAGCAGCGCGGGCTGTCCTGACCTCCTGGGCATTGGCCTTGGGCAGCCGCCGAAAACCCCTCCATCGGCACCCACTCCAGCAGCGCCCGGCCGGCTACCTGCATGGCCTTCATGACGTGGAGATTGGGCACGTTCTTGTCCGCCAGCTCGGGGTGCTTGGGCATGTGCACGTCCTTCTTGGCCACCATCACCCCCTCCTTGAAGAGGAGCTCGTAAATGGCGATCCGGTTCTTCTTGGGCATCAACATCTACGGGGAGAAAGCGAGAGCATCTCTAAGCAATGTGGCCAGGGGGTCAGGAACCGAGTTCAAGGGGGAGAAAGCGAGAGCATCTCTAAGCAATGTGGCCAGGAACCGAGTTCAAGACCCACGAAACCACTGTCCAATGGACTGAAATCTCAAACACAAAACGTGCAGGAAGCGGGCCCGAGGCCCCCGGTGCTGAGGGCTGACAGCCAGACGGCCCCCAAGTCAGGAGCCCTGCCCCTTGGGCTGGGAGCCAGGTGGGCAACCTGTAGGTGGCACCGTGGCCTGGCTGGGCCCAGGCAGTGGTCTGTGGGCAGGGACCTTGCCAAGGGGACTGGAGGCTGGGCCCACTGGTGCCCGTGGAGGGACAATAAAGGTTTTCAGTTAAAAAAAACAAAACAAAACACGTGCGGGCAGGAGGGATTCAAACCCTGTAGACTGACACCCACCAGTTACCAGCTCCCACCTCCAGCCCCGAAAACACTGCAGGTGAGAAAGTTACCAAGGCATTAAAACAAAACGGGGGTGCACATCCGCTTCAAACTTTCACCCACAACCGTAAAGGAATAACGGGGCGCAGACCCGCGTTCTGTGAGTATCCGGGGACCATCAACACCGGTGCCACGGTGCGCGCGGCGAGGCTGCACTTCCAGGCGGGCAAGGGGAGGCCAGGGAAGTCTCTTCTCACGACAGGCCGTTGACCCGCAGCCAAAGGGCCAAGGCCTTCGCACCCTCATTTCCTACCCGTCTCCCCCCAAACGAGAGCCCCAGGGCCAAGCAAAGAGGCAACCGGGGTGAGGAGTGGGCAAGCGGGGTACAGTCCTCCTAGCCTCGCCCAGACACCGCCACGCAAGAGCTTCATCTTCCTTCCTCGGCCCTCCGCCATCGGGACGCCGATCTTCGCCAACAGCGCCCCATTACCCCCCGGCGTGCGCCCCCGGCCTCTCTCTACTCAGAAATGAGCGAGCGTGCAGTGGGAGAGGGGTCCCCTCGCCCCAACCCCGGGGAAGCGCAGCGACTGCGGCGGCGAGAGGGCCAGGATGGAGGCCGATGGAGCCCGCGTTCCACGGGAACTCACCGCGACAGCTGCTGCGTCCCGGGCC